TTTGTGAAAACAAGTTAGGCTTACATGGGAGACTAGTCATGTTTTTGTTCAAGGATATTGGTATTCCAATTAACGAGTTAAAAACTGTCCTTCCATACACTTCGCTTATATTTTTGGGTATTGAGTTGGATTCTATTTTGATGGAGTCATGTTTACCACAAGACAAGTTCACTAAAGCTAGACACCTTCACAAATTCACCAGTCTAAAAAAATCCATAATATTACTAGAGTTACAGTCTGTAATAGGTGTGTTAAACTTCGCCTGTTCAGTTCAACCTTTTCATCATAGGAAATTGAGTAAGGAAGCTCTAGCGGATTTAAATGCTTGGGGTTTGTTTTTAGAGCATTTCAATGGCAAGTCACTGTTTTTGTCAGAGCAATGGGACGGTGAACCAATGGGACAATTCTGACTCATTACAGTTGTATATGGATGCAAGTAACATTGGTTTCAGTGGTTATTTACGAAATCGGTATTTTAGTGGTATATGGCCTAAAACCTGGAAAACCTATCATTTTACAATAAAAGGAGTTCTTTCCCAGTGTACTTGCAGTTCAACTTTGGGCAGATCAGTTAGAAAATCGATGTATTGTTATTAAATTTTTTAAATCAGGAATTAGCATCATCAACTCATAATACTTATCAAAGGGCAATTGAATATTACCATTGTTTGGTGTCATCATTTTGCTTTGCCAACTAAAGGTGTACCAGCAAAAGCAGAAGCTTAAGATATCATTTTGTTTATAGCTTATTGTTACTGGCAACCTATGTTTCAGCATTAAGTATTCAACATAAGATAAGGAATATGAAAGGCACAACTTTTAGTGAAAAAATGATTACAAGGTTACAAGAAAAAGACAAGCTTAGTGGACCTTGGGTTACCTATAACACCAATCATTCTTAAACAGCTGATAGCTTCTTTACAATGCACAACAAGTTTATATTTTGTACAGGTACTTATGAGTATTTAGTGACATTTTCACTGTTTTCTTAGGATTGTAAAATTTACATCTTCAAAAGACAGAAATTGTCATTTATGGACAGTACAATCTGTACATTTTTTTTTAGAAAATACTTCAGACTGCCCAATAGGGTTGGAGTTGACTATGAAAACTTTCAAACATGGTAAAGGTCAATCTTACACTTTGCATGTGAAAAATGACAGCAAAGATAACACAATATGTCCTGTTCAGGCCCTATGGACATATTTTCAATTATAAAAACCAACTTCTGGTCCTCTTTTTACTTTCATGGATGGGTCACCGGTGTCACGGAAATATTGTACAGATCAGTTATGTTTGTCATTAAATTTGTGTGGGATAGATTGTAAATGATATAAAGGTCACAACTTTAGAATCAGAGCAGCCACAACGGCTTTTTTCAATGGAGTTCTACAGCAAAAAATTAAAGCAGTGGGGCGGAGGTCATCAGACGCTTTCAAAAAGTTTGTAAACCTTTGACTGCTCATGATGTGAGGTTGAGGTAATGAGTTATGACCATGGTGACAAGAGCATCTGGTCAGATTGTAATTCATGTCATTTCAAATCTACTCTGAATTGAGTTCCTATAAAATTGTTAGTAATTTGTTAACTTGTTTGGTTGATTGCAATCAAGTGTTTTAATTACTGGTGTCACAAAATGATACCCGACCATGGTGACAAGAGCATCTGGTCAGATTGTAATTCATGACATGTCAAATCTACTCTGAGTTGAGTTCCTATAAAATAGTGAGTAATTTGTTAACTTGTTTGGTTGATTGCAATCAAGTGTTTTAATTACTGGTGTCACAAAATGATACCCGACCATGGTGACAAGAGCATCTGGTCAGATTGTAATTCATGACATTTCAAATTTACTTTGAGTTGAGTTCCTATATAAAATAGTGAGTAATTTGTTTACTTGTTTGGTTGATTGCAATCAAGTGTTTTAATTACTGGTGTCACAAAATGATACCCGACCATGGTGACAAGAGCATCTGGTCAGAGTGTAATTCATGACATTTCAAATCTACTCTGAATTGAGTTCCTATAAAATAGTGAGTAATTTGTTAACTTGTTTGGTTGATTGCAATCAAATGTTTTAATTACTTGTGCCAAAAAATTATACCCGACCATGGTGACAAGAGCATCTGGTCAGATTATAATTCATGACATTTCAAATCTACTCTGAGTAGAGTTCCTATATAAACTAGTGAGTAATTTATTTTGTTGATGTCTATCAAGTGCGTTAATTACTGGTGTCACAAATTATTCCCAATCATGGTGACAAGAGCATCTGATTGTTAAATAAATATTAAACCAGTAATAGAGAATATGAGGGTTTGGACAATTGTCAAAATATGTGAACAAGTTTGACATATTATCCGTTTCAGGAAATAGGACATTGGCTTAGAAAAAAACATTTTCAACCATGATGACAGGAGCATCTGGTTGTATCAAGAAGTAGTAAAGTTTTGAGGTAATTATGTATCTAACAAAGTTTGTGTACAATGCATAATAATATGGTATTGATTTACAAGAATTGACATAGTTTCTTTGTATGTTGGTAATGTGTTATTTTTCATTGTTTGAATCCAGTTTGTATGAATTTTAGGGATACTTCTATTGTAGTAAGTTTAAGACTCGCACTTAGGATTGGGTGGGGATTACTGCTGATGACAGTTCAGATCTGCCTGTCATGGGCAGTAAGTGGCATTTTTACCTTACCCCACCTTTGATGTAAAAATTTTATACAGTAATGTTTTGATCTATTTGGAAGTTGCATGTAGTGATATTGGTATCACTGCAAGGTTTATAAATGTAAATCTATCAAACTACATTTTCATTTTTGTAATAGTTTTACAAAATTGTCATTTGATAATAAATGACCTTTTTCAACTTCAAACGGTGTTGTGTTTGAATCAGATGGTGTAATATTACATCAAACAGAGCAACCTTTAGTGCGAGTATCAGGAAGATGGGCATAAATAAACTACAATTACGTCCTTTTGAGAAATTGACAATCATAATTAGTAACATATTCATTTTACATAACTGTACTGAAAATTACACATCCAGTTTAAATTACTGTACTGAGAATTAAATTTGTGTAAAAAATCTGTGGTTGAATAACATTAAAAATCATGAATGCTTGCAAGTTCATCTATAAATTTCCAAGATATTTCTTAGTTTACATATTCTTGATCAAATCATCGATAACAGTGTATATTCTTGACCAGGACATCCATCCAAGCGGTCTTACAACATTTTCATAAAATCAGCTTGCATAAATAAATTAATTTATCCTTGTTTCTCAGATCTTGAAAATAGATGCCGAAATTCTAGTCTAAAGTTTACTTACACAGCACACCACAAAAAGAAACATTCAGGAAAAAAAATCACAAAAAATAAAATCCAAGTAAAACAATCACATTTACATATAAATCCAAGAAATATTAGATAATAGTCCAAGTAAGTGAGTAACTTTATCTATCTTCAATAGTTCTATCCACTAAGTCTTCTATATTTCCATCTTCTTACCTTATTCTAAAATTCTGTCGCACTATATATATATATTCAAGATCCGCTCCTGACAATCAGGAGCACATTACAAGATCCTTAAGATCAGGAGTCAATACACAGGACATTACGATCAGCAGGGGTCAGATAAGAGGGGGCGATTAATATACAGATAAGATTTTTATCATAAGTGTAGATGATCATGTGTGAACAATTAAGTGATGAAGAGTATATACAGATAAGATATGTATATAGACTCCCTGTACAAATGCATAGAAAACAAAGTTTTGAATTAAAAATGAATTATCTCTTCACATTCCCGGCCTCTTTAAAAAATGTGAGAAAATAATTTAAATACTTTTCTTTAGATAAAATCATGTAGTGAGTATCCAGCAATGGTGATAAAAAGTTATCTATAGAATTTTACATTTATATTTAATGAAAAATGCAGTGTTCCTTCTACGTAAAAAAAACTCAAAAGACATTACCTAAAATGGAAATAAGGTACAACTGTGACTGGTGTCTCAGGCACAACCTATAAACACAAGACCTTTCCATCCTTAGCAGCATGCCCTAGCTCCACATTCCTTGTTTCTTCAAAAAAATATACAATGAAAATTTTAAAAAATGGGAGCAATGAGTGTTACATGTACTTGGGGGAACAGAGGAAGGAATTTTGAAGTCAGATTAACTATTTTTCTGCCAGTGTTGGGACGGATAAATTTCCAAAATAAAATGAAACGAATTATTTGCAACAAATAAGACACATGTATTCTTTTGCAGTCACCGTCGCACATAATGTATATCCTGGCGTCATGGGTTTCCTATAGTCTTACAATAACCGCAGTTCTAATTGTTTTCAAATTTTGTCAAAACTATTCAAATTTTACCCAGGAAGCGAACATTATTTCCATTATTCTGCCAGTGTAAGTAAACAGCAGTGTATATGCTCACATATAGTCTCTTGTCTTTGATCATTTTCCTGCCGAATTTAAGCAGGTACCATATATTGAAAATAAATCATACTTAATATTCACACATTTTATGATATATATTGTATACCTGGTATTTCTCCAAGTTCAAAAAGCACTTTTTGTTACTGATACAGATTCAATCGTGTGCGTTTTTAATCGTACGAGATTGTGCGTTTAGAACCCTGTAAATGTCGTTTTGTAAGTTTTTATCGGAATGTTTATTGTGAAATAAGCATTTCCTTTGTTTGTGTTTCTTAATTTATCAATTAAAATCCAAATGAAATGAAAAAGCACAATTTACATAATATATTGCATAACGAACTAATTATCACCCCTACACGAGCAATATAGTACATGTAAGTCGTACAATATTAAGTTTTTGGCAAATAGCGCGATTAATACTGTGATAAACCGTACTTAGATCTTTAAAGCCTTTTTGAAAAATCTGATTTTAGTTATTATTTACTTCTTATTGTGGTCAAGATAATCTTGAAATCAATTCATTGAATTCATTGAATATATAATGTTCCTGGGTAATCCATTGACTTTAATGATTGTTGTGTTTTTCAGGCAGTTTTTTAGTACGTCTTTCTTTCAGTCTTGTGTCCTGACAAGTGTTTCCTACAAAGATTATTAATTAATTAATTAATTATTTAATTATTATATTAATTATTATAAAATACTATTACCCATACTAATATTCCAATTGTTTAGGTCAAAGGGACCAATTCCTAGATTAGGATGACATTAAATACAATAAATTCAATGATATCACTTGAAAAGTCCATGTTTTGGCAACTTGAAATACTGAGTACTGGTATGTTAAATGGTACTATATGTTTAGAGCGAAACAGAAAAGACCATGTGTTTAACAGATTCATAACTGCATATTAGACTTTAAAGGGATGTGTCAGACACCATACAGTGTGTTATTGACCTAGCGACTCTAAATATCGGGCTGCTATTGAACCATAAATGAGATAAAAATTTTCATTTTAATTGTGATGTACCGATTGGATGACAATAAACATGTAATTGATGGATTTCTAATATATTACGGACAACAGTAAAATACTGAAATGATTGATTTCTTTTAAAAATCTGCACAGAATAATTAGAATACCTCAACTGTGAATAAATCAAATGCAATGTATTGTTTCACTTTTTTGCATGGACCTCAAATTAATCCCCTAGAAGATTGAACCTTTTGTTTGAGCTATGTCTAAATTATTTAATGGGATACACTTGGTCTATAAAAGTTTTGTTTACATGTGTCAAAACAAAAACACTGTCTGTGTGTTGTGTTCTGACACATATGTAGAAACTTGTAATGACAATTAGTTTAAATAAAAATAACCTTAAATTGCTAACTCAAAATTTAGTAAACCTTCATATAGATGTCACTAAGCATAAAAAGGACCAGTCGATTCACCTGACTGCGTTACGTAGAACCTGAAATGAGAACGCAATCCGAATTTACTCTGAAAGATTTCGTTGCAAGTTGAATATCAATAAAAATGTGCATTGTAACCACAAAATATGACAAAAAATCAACAAAGCATACATATTTACCATTGTTTCAAAGAAGTATATCGCAATCAGCCAAAAGGAAAGTCTAGAACAAACAATAGAAAGGAGCTCTTGCTGACTCGGATTTTTTTTCTGTAACAGGAAGTGCAAGTAGAACCTGGCTAATCGGTTTCGTATTCATCCAAGAATCGGGAAATACCTTAATCTTTGTAATATTAGTCGTTCAAATTTTTATCTTAAAAATGCATCTCCACTTCAAAGACGAAAGAAGGTGACTAAGTGATATAAATTTACTTTATGGAACCAAAGCTAGTTCTTTTATGGAATGCCGTACGTCACAAATTACGTCATCATGCGACTTAGAAAGCAGAAAGAAACAAAGAAAAAGCAGAATGTTTTCAACTCCATATTTTCTGTAAGTTTGTAAGATTCTCATCTTCTTTTTATATCAGACGGATGTAATAACTTTATTTGGGAATATTTGTTGATAGCTTAATAACAGATATGAGATTCAAGTGGATCTAACATTATCTATGGTAACGCATAACGTTAGCCTATGTGTTGAAAAAGAAAGATGGGCCTAGTACAGGTTCTCTGCTTTTCTTTTCTTACAATATTATTGGCCTATTGATAGGCCTAATGTTTTAATGTGTTTTTAATTCCTGTTGCATTGGGATCTAGTATATAAAATTAAACTGCAGCAATCAAAAAACACACGTAGCATTTGGGGGGGGGGGTGTAGATAGAATGTTGATGTTCTATCGTTAAAATGATAAAAATTAATGTCCTACGTACCCGGTGAGGGCTTAAGATTATTCTAACTACGGTGGTAAATTGCAACCCTCCCTTTTGGATTTGCAAACAAAAAAAAAAAAGAAAAAAATCTAATGTTGTAGGATAGGATTCTCAGGTTCTGAGATCAATATTTTCCTTTCTTTTTCAAAAACTTTTCAGGTAATCCATGCAAATATTTTTTCCTAGTTTTATATCAACCTCCTCCTTTAAAAACCATACCCCACCTGGTATCCTATTGAGTTATTTAACTTCATGCAGGTGTAAAATGTACATTATAATACCCCCCCCCCCCCTTGAAAAAATCCTTCCACCCCTCAACAAAAAAAAGATACCCCACTGTCCTGTCCACAAGTACCTGTGCATGTGCATTCCAAAATGTATGCAGATATAAAGAGGCTTACTTACATCTGGAATGCAAGACAGAAAGTCCTAGTCACTTCCCTAAAATGAGTCGTACTGTACATATATTTACAAAATATTTATTAATTCGAAAATATTTATTAAATGTTGTATTCCATACTCACAGGTATAATTTGCTGGTTATAAGCAGATCTATGCACGGCACTCCATTATACCACACTGATAGCTTCTCAAGGATTATAAATATGATACATGTAAGCAGGTAAGAAAAAAAATCTAAGAGAGAAATATTTTTTTCAGAGCTTGAGGTATACATTGTTTGTTATTACGTGTATAACTATCAATAACAATTTTGTTATTACGTGTATAACAATTTTGTTATTACATATATACATGTAGCAAAACCTTTACCATTCAGCTTATATTTGCTTATCTTGCATTTCTTTAATGTAAATACATGTATATAATCTTCGTTAATTTATAAATTTAAATAAAGTACTTGTCATCACAAGGACCAGATTTCAAGTACCAGAGTAGTCCTAACTCCTAAATTTTCCCAATTTGTCAAAAGTACATGTAAGTATTTTATAATATTTTTTGTTAGCTCACCTGAGCCGAAGGCTCAAGTGAGCTTTTCTGATCAAAGTTTGTCCATTGTCTGTCTGTCGTCGTTGTTGCTGTCATTAACTTTTCACATTTTCGACTTCTTCTCAAGAACCAGTGGGCCAAATTCAACCACACTTGGCACAAAGTATCTTTAGGTGAAGGGGATTCAAGTTAGTTCAAATGAAGGGCCATGCCAAATCAAAGGGAGATAATTCAGAAATAATGAAAAATTGATGGTATGATATAAAAATCTTCTTCTCCAGAACCACTGTGCTAGGAAAGATGAATCTTACAGAGAAGCATCCTCAGGTAGTGTAGATTCAAGTTTATTCAAATCATGACCCCCAGGGGAAGGGCGGGTCCACAATGGCCAATCAAAGTTTTACATAGAAACCCTTCGGGCTTTATGGAATTTAATCTCGTGACCAATTATGACTAAGCTGGGGATATTTCATTGAATTTTTCTCACCTAAGCCAGAAGCTTAAGTTAGCCCTTTTTATGCCCCCGTAAATAAAGTGTTGGGGTACAGTTTATAGTTTTTGTCGTGTCCGTCTGTCTCTCTGTCTGTTTGTCCTCAAAAACTTTAACCTTGCCCATAACTTTTGATTTATTGGAGCCATGACTTTCATTTTTTACTTGTGTTTTCCTTGTGACAAGACCTTTCTTTGGGTACTACCAAATTTGACCTCTTGACCTTGGAGTTTGACTCACTTTTACATGATAATTTTACACCTTTACTTTGGCCATATCTTTTGAACAGTAGACACCAGGACATTTATACTTCACATGTGTATTTTTCATTGAAAGACCTTTAACTGGATACCAACAACCTATACCCTTTGACCTTGACCTTGTAGATTTCTGTACCTGTGCAAAACTTGAACCTTGGCCATAACTTTTGAACGGTAAGGGATACGGTTTTCTGTTCATATTTCACATATGTAATCCTTGTGAGAAGACCCTTCATAGGATACCAAGCAATTTGACCCTTTGACCTAGACCTTTGAGTTTGACCTAATTTAAAAAACAAGCCTTGACCATAACTTTCAAAGGGTTAGGGCTAGTGCTTTCATATTTTACATATTTAATTCTTGTGACAAGACCTTTTATTTGATAACAAGAACTTTGACCCTTTGACCTTGACCATGGAGTTTGACCTACTTTTAAAAGAAAATTAACCTTGGCCATAACTTCTGAAAGGTTAGGGCTAGGGCTTCCATACTCTACATAAGTAATTCTATGTGGCAAGACCTTTCATTGAATACCAATTAGTAACTTAGCCTTTAGGACTCGACCTTGGAGATTTTTGTACTTATTGAAAAAAAAAAAAACTTTAATAATGGCCTGCTTTCAAATTTAACAATTGCTTTCCAGTGAGAATATCCTACTTTTGGTACCTATTAATCAAATTTGCATTTAAGAAAAATTTAATCTTTGCCATGTTGTCATACGGGGGCATCAGTGTTTCACAAACATATCCTGTTTTTGGTCAAAATTTGTCGTTTTTCATTTTGATTTCATGCATTGTTGATCGAAACTTTAAATGCATTTATTAAAAACAAAGTACAATTGTAAAAATACCAGCTTATAAAAAATCCTTAAATTTGTGAGATTCGATCTCAATAATATGATACATTTCAGCTAGTGACACAAGAGAAGAATGTGGAGTAAATGCCAATAAAGGCTGGACTGCAGGGGTATACCTGACTTCTCGGCAATTTCTGGTTATCACCATCCGAATGACCGATTCAGAGGAGAAGACCAACTTCAAGGTGACTCTTATGCATTGGTAAGGATTGAAATTTAATTTCATTAATATGGACACTTGAGGGATGCAAGTATCAATTTATTGTTATTTGTTTTTAGACCTATTGCTTCTCTTTTCATCAGTTGTTGTGTGTCCCATCAGTAACAAATTATCCATTACTGACTGAACCGTTATCAACCAAATTTTGCATGGTAAAAGTTCTTCTTGATAGAATGCAAACAAACTAAGTACATTTAAAGTATATAGTTATACTTATAATGAGTATTAAAGAGTTCCATTTCCAAAATTGTACATTACTTTGCCCCTGGGTACCCAGTAATAGGTTCTGATGTTATAGAAGACATATAAACAATGCAGTAATTCTTTGACAGTCATCTTTTTCTGCTCCTAGGTACTCAGCAAATAAACGTATGCATACATATATTATTTTATCCTATGTTTACGCCTTTATATATGCCTATATGACATCTTAAAGCGAGGACTGAAATGCAAGGCAAACTTAAAGGTCAAGGTCAAAAGGTCAAATTGTTAGCATCCGAAGGAAGGTTTTGTCATAAGGAATAATTTAACCTGTGAAATATGAGAATTTTAGCATTAACTATTAAAAAGTTATGGCCTAGATTATATTTTTTAAAAGTGGGTCAAACTCTTAGGTCAAGACCAATTTTAAGGTAAAAAAAACTTATTGAATGGTCTTGTCACAATGATTACAAAATAATGTGAAGTATCAGATTGATAGCACTAACTGTTCAAAATTATTAGCCTAGGTTAAAGTTTAGGGATTTTTTTTATAAAAGTGGATCAAACCCTAATATCAAGGTCAAGAGGTCAAATTTTATAGTACCCCGATAAAGTTCTTGTTACATGAAATACACCTGTGGAATATGAAGCCATAACCCCACCCATTCATAAGTAATGTGTTTAACGGTTAAATATTAAGACAGAAAGATGGACATAACAGTACAAAAACAATATAAACCCAACAATCTTTGATAACAGAGGCAAAATAAGTGCATAATATTTCCATGACGGTTCAAATAGTAAAACAGATTCAAACTTATTCCTCTAAAAAGTTGAACTTTGAAGATATAAAATTCATGACTTATCTTAATAATATTTTTAGATTTATTTCTTTTTTTTGCTTTACAGAGATCTTTCGCTGATGGACTACAATTGTTTGGGAAAAAATCCAGCTACCACAGCCACAGATTTCTGGCGTGTGTTCAGAAGGAACATAGATGCAATTGGTAGGTAAATTTTGCTCTTAAATTCCCTTGCAACAGATACAAATTGCATCATCAGATATAGGTCAATGAAACAGAGACAATTATCACAAGGTTTAATTGATACCTGACACAAGATTGTTTTTAAGTTTAAAGTCATTTGCAGGAAAATTGTTTTCATTTTTTGTCAATAATTTTATACTTAAGAAACATTATAATTATACTTTTAATTATGATTTATAATGTATGATTTTGAAAACATTATAATTTATGATGTATGTTTTTTGATTTTTTAAAGATCATTTACAATGTAGGCAATATAAATTCAACCTTTTACCAAATTGAACTTAGGGGTGATATGAGATTGCTATATCTACTTTTGTTCATATTTTATGTTATCTTGATAAGTAAGGAAATATTGACTTTGGAAAAGCAGTTGTAAAATTCATGACTGTATTTCATTTACCGGTACCCAGTATTCATCACAATTACAGCTCAACAAACTTTTAAAGCTCACGTCGTTTTTCGCACAAATTAAGGTCACATTGTTATAATGCAATATTGTGTATTGAGACATCAAAATACATTTTAAAAGTATTTGTTTACATTATTTGAGTTTCATTTCATTTACCAAAACATAATTCATACAAATCAATTGCTAGAACTTTGATATATTCTTGGCTGAAAAATAACAACCATTTCCTTTTGATTTTTTGTGGTTTCTTGCCAATTGCAGCTGTCTTTTTGTCCGTTCTTTTGAAAGCAGTAGCTCTTTGCAGAAACATAGATACGGGCACAGTACAGCTACTGTAACTTGTATTTTCTGTACATTCTGACTCTTTAGCACAGGGTGATAATAGTATTTTTCATCTATTTACTGCTTTGTATGTTAATAAGGTGGCATTTTTCAGAGTCACCTTCTAAAATCTAGAATCATGAAAGATTCACTCCACACAAAAATTTTAACGTTTCAAACTGTAAATGCATAAGAATTTTCCTTTTCATAGAAAAAATTTACTATTTAAAAAAATTAACAATACTTCATAATCCCACCCTGCAGTATTGTTTCTTTCTGCAGTGTTATCTCTTTTCGGTACTACATTTAGACAAAACTCAGATGAGTTTGGTAAATGAGCAAAGAATGTTAAAAAATACTCACCTTTAAGAAGAAATTTTAAGATTTTCAACTACATTGTATCAAAGAAAGCACGTTTTATATTATTTGTAAATAACCTATGGTAGAGGCCTTTAGTAGAAACATCGTACCATTCATTGATAAATTCCCCGCTGAAACATCCACTTTGGAAACTTAAGATAATAGTTTTAAAGGACATTTATACTTGACATTAAAAATGTAATATAACGTAGGGCCATGTCATCGTTCTGAGGTTCGCAAATAGTAATTCATATTATAAAAATGTGACCTTAATTTGTGCGAAAAACCATGTGAGCTTAAAAAGTTTGTTGAGCTGTATTTTCTCTTGCAGATGAAACAATCTCCAGACAGATGGGTGGCCCTTGAGCAGAGAATGTTAAAAAGAATTGAAGCATTCAATAAAGAAGATTAAGAAACAGAATGTGTCCAGTTGTTTGTTCATCAAAAGAATAACTTGGATAATCATAGTGGTGCTTCCTCAAAATCTGCATGTGTTAAAATTAAGATTTAGATAAAGCTCATTAAGTCATTTGCTGGATCAGATTTTGAGATTGCACTTATTGCATTTTTTTTAATACAGTAACAGTGAAACGTTGATGATTAGTTGTACAAATTCATATACAGATCTAAGTATTAGAATTTCCTAATACTTTTCATCAAATGGATTAAAAGAATTGAAAGTCCAATATACTAGGAAAAATATATAAATTACATCACATGGATTTTTTATTAATATATCATGATATTTACATGAACTTCGCATGAAATTCATATGAAAATCTGTAAGAAAGCAGCAAAAATATTCATATGAATTTCGTGCGAATTTTTATTCGCATGATATTCGTGCGAATTTCATGTCAAAATCGCATGATATTTTCATGCGAATATCATGTGTGGTCCTTTTCGTCTCCTTTTCATGCGAAGAATTCGCACGATATTCAGGCGAATTTCGTATAAAGTTTATGCGAGCTACTTTTGCCTGTGTACATGGACACGGCATGATTTTCGGGAGTTTTGATTATCTGTGTTGAACCTATTTGTAATTAATTAATTTAAATTAAGATTTCTGCAAATAAAAAAGTAAATAATTGGCAAGTTTATCATACATTGAATCATTGGAAACATAAGGATAAAATTTGTAATTATAATTTAAGTCATTTCATGCTGCCATTTTTGTTCAATCGTATCCCCCATTCTGCATATCATGATATTCAATTCAATCAAATTATACGACCCACATACATGTACATCGTCTAATAAAACGAATATATTCCGTTTTTCTTAATCTGAGAATCACCTTAGAAATAACTATTTCAAATATAAAATATTAAGTCTTGCATATACATGTATTTAGTTACAGAAATATCATTTTCCGTTTTTTCTTCAAAGTCTATGAATTAATATTGATAATTCTTCGAAATCTTAAATAAATATTAAGCCGTATTTTGTTTTGAAAATATTGATTCCTAAATATTTTGAACTATTTTGAGTGAAGAATCGTGCGTTTGCGTTAACAATCGTGTAAGATCATGTAACGTGAAGAATTGTGAACGTGAAAGATCGTTTGTGTAACAGGTTTTATCGTGCGTTAATCGTGCGGAATCGTTCGTGTAATGTGATCGTTCGTGTAAGTTGTCAACAATAACGTTCCAGCCACTGCAAATGTAAGAGCTTCCTTAAGTACTGTTACATCACACACGTTTCCACTCGCTAATTTCATTATTTAACAAAATTTTCAAACGTTCAACCCTTCATTAGAGCAATTACAGTATATCATCCGATAAAACATGTAGGAAACGATCAAAAATTACAACGTTATGTTTCGAAAAGATAGAAAAAAGATGAAAAATCCCATCTTGGAGAATTTAATTATCTTTTTTTGTAAACTTTCTTAAATATGTGGCCAATGAAATTCTAAAAATATTTTATGCACTTATATACTGGTTGTGAATTGGATAGCTCTTTTATTAAACCCGCGACAGGGAACTATTAACTGACGGAAGACAAACATGACGGGAATAGTTTCTGTTAAGGGTTTGATAAAAGAGCTATCCAACTTACATTGTACAACCAGTAGATAAGCGTTTTATAATATACTGATGTATAATATAACTTCTAAGGTTTTAACTTTTTGTAGTAAGAAAATACTGCAACAATAAACTGAAATCCTGATGACGTCACAATGCTACTGAAGTCGTTATGATATCATCAGTCAATAGATAAATCGTGGAAATAAAAATTGGGTGCAAAAATTGCATGGAAACTTTTCGAGGGTGTATTACCTTCTTATCTTTATATAGGTAAAATTTTAACAGAGGTTAAAAAATATTTTTCAGATTTATATTTTACGTTTTTGTCGCGCTAAAAAGAAACATGGGCATCATTTAGACTTAAAAGTTTGCTCGAGAAATACAACATAACGTATCTACGACGTCATGTGACGTTACAATTGGAATTTTCCAAATACACCGTGTAGTTTGCTTTTCATACTCAAGAAAGTCTTATCATATGACCAATTGCATGTCATTAAAAATTGAATTTCAATTTTATCAGCATTGTATTACACGGAAAATCTTTAGCAAACTCACAGGCTCACAGGAGAGATAATGTAAATAAAAGACTTGTTAAGATGGTTTCAGAGATTTGGGTTTGTGAAAGATCATTAAATGCTCAGTGAATGACAAGAAGACAAAACGATAGGAGGGTGGACGGAGACGTTTAATAGCTTATATCTTTGTCAAAAAACACGGTTAGAGCTATAAGTGAAATTTTAAGTACGACTGTTCAAAGAACTTTTACAAAGGAATTATTCATGAAAAGAGTGAGTGTACGATAGGAACCAAGTTTACATCTTGTTATGAACTTTCAAATATCCAATCGATAGTATACTTCCAGTTATTTAGCTCCATCTCGAATACAGTTACAGAAGTGAAAGAACCTATACACTGATTTTTATAGGCTATTATATAAATCAAGCTAACTTGACTTGAAGAGCACAAACTTTTTATTTTGACAAAAATATCAAAGCCTTTGTCCGTTATTGATTAGCATTTGTTTCTGGTCCTTGACGAAGGGCAGTTGAATGAGCCGTCACAATTACAGTCGCAATCAAAGCGGAAGCAACCTCTGTCAAACTGAAACCGCCCACGTCCGTATCTCCTACCATAAACCTTGCAGTTTCTACAGTCATTCTCATTTCCACCCTGATTTCTGCAGATATCCTTCGTTAAATAGGCGGGACAATAGTACGAACCATTGCAAAAGCATTGACATGAATACTGAAGACATCCATCATTGGACTTGAAGATGGAATTCGCGGGTATGTTAAGGAAGCATATAAGTCAATTTTCGGGAAATTCAGACTTTTTAAAGGAAATTTAGTTTGTTAATTTACCAAAACCGTTGATAAGCGTAAACTATTATTATTTTTTCCATAAAGATAAAAGAGTGTCTAACTCAACGACGTGCAACACCACCACGGCATCACGTGACTTCTATTAATAGCGAAATTTTCCTTAATAAAAAAGCGAACAGAACAACAATACACCGGAGTTTAATAATTTCTTTGCGTAAATAATGAAGTTAAAAAACATCTATTTTGCCTAAAAAGTGCTGCTAGAATCCCACTGTCCCGTCAGTAAAATAATTATTCCAAACATTCGCACGAAACCTTACCCGATGTTTTGAATTTTTTACCTATGATTCGAGATTTTTCGTAAAACCCTGCTGAACTCGGGATTCTAGCAGCACTTTCAAAGTATTTAAGGATGCAAAGTTTCCATTAGTACAAATTTTATGTTTTGAAATATACAGCTTATTGTTGTTCTATCGCATTGTTTTTGTCACAATCGACAGAGGAAAGGCCGACTGGGATACGTATATAGCTGACTGTCTTTGAAAGCGAATATAATCGATGAATACGAATTAGCATACCTGTTTTATTAACTGAATTCCATATGAATTTCACAAAATATTCACGATATTTCCTTTTGAACTCCATTTTACGTATCTTTATTCATGCCGTCATAGCCAAATTCTCTTTACACGACATGATCAATTCCCGATCAATTCTCAAGTTACTTGATGTATACATATGACGTCATCAGTGGTAGATTTTAATGAAAATGACAGACACATCATAACGAAATAAAAACATTTTATTTTTGTTAATGTTTACACGTATCTAATCATTTTCTATAGTAAAAATACATCTGCAAATACCAATTTTACAAACAACTTGTGTTCTAAAATTGACGTCATCACCTCTACTATGACGTCATAATGTAGCACTGATTTGGTCAAGGTAAAATATTTTGATGCTTCCTTATTCCCCCTGCGTTTCCACGATATCGCTGTCCTCTGACAATGCATTGTCTACAAGACTGAGCGCTGCAAACGACGAAGATAACGAGAAGAAGAAGAAAGAACCTCAACATCTGAAAAAAAACACCAGTAAACGTCATACACGCATGCGTAACATCTGTAAAAAAAAAACTGTAAACGTCATATGCGTTCAATTACCTGTAGAATATGAACATATATTTCAAAGGTATATAAAATTGGGTTAACACTTTCCTGATAGATATATCTTGTAACAAATAGTTTTGATTTTGTATTCAAGACCTTGAGAAATGTATGTTCTTAATTAATGACATGTTCATGCGAGTAATAATAGTAAATGAAATTAAAATAAATAAATGAAACCTGAGTTTATCAACATGGATGTAAATGGGTTATACGTATGCTATATTAGGGATTTTCACTCGATTACCTTACTCCTTTACGTGTTATAATGATGTGTGACAAATGTATCAGAGGGATTGAAAATAAGGTTATCAATTGGTAGTGCGTGTGGAAAATATCTTATAAAAGAAATTTTATTTTATGTTCCTTAGTTCTCCTGCCAGACAACTGGGCTTGTTTTTTGGTTAAAGCAGGCAAATACAAACAACATTATTGAAGTGAAAAAATGTCATTTATTGAAGTAAATGACGTAAAATTAGTAAAAACATATTTACAATACAAGACAGGGGGTCAGAAAGGGGGACTTAAATATAAAATATAACATATCTTTATCACAATATTGCACAATCTGACCCCCAGCACCATAATGTCATTGTAAATGTTATACATAGAAAAAAGGGGGAACAACCAGTAGACTAATTAAGAAAACAAAACATGGAAAAACATTGGCATGTATAGTATACATGTATCTGTGTTGACCCCCTACAAAACATAAAAAATTATAAATATACATGAAAATAACTGTGCTACATTGCTGCCTGCTATCAAAAAAGGTGGGTAAAAGAAAATACAACGGTGGAAGAAGGGGTGGATGGTGGGTACGTAAAATCGAGCATTTAAATGTTGCGACTTTCCCTTCTTGTAAAAAGATAAACAATGAACACGTGATAACAAAGCGCTCTGCTGATTGGTTGAAAATGGTTATGAAAGGGGTAAATCAAGTTACATAAGTAAAACCCGGTTGACACATTGTATAAGACTATTACAAAAGAAAAATAGTTATGCAAGAACTTAATATGAAGAAATATACAAGAACATGTCACATAAAGGTCATTATTTACAATAATAACTTATTTATGTTCCTTAGTTCTCCTGCCAGACAACTGGCCTGGGCTTGTTTTTTGGTTAAAGCAGGCAAAAACAAACAACATTATTGAAGTGATAAAATGTCATTTATTGAAGTAAATGACGTAAAATTAGTAAAAACATATTTACAATACAAGACAGGGGGTCAGAAAGGGGGACTTAAATATAAAATATAACATATCTTTATCACAATATTGCACAATCTGACCCCCAGCACCATAATGTCATTGTAAATGTTATACCTAGAAAAAAGGGGGAACAACCAGTAGACTAATTAAGAAAACAAAACATGGAAAAAACATTGGCATGTATACATGTAGTATACATGTATCTTAGTTGACCCCCTACGAAACATAAAAAATTATAAATATACATGAAAATAAATGTGCTACATTGCTGCCTGCTATCAAAAAAGGGGTAAAAGAAAATACAACAGCCACAATCCAATTGCAAATTGGATCCACCCACCCAAAGGCGTCTTGGCAGGAGACGCAAATACAAGCCATAAGAAATGTAAAAGAAATTTTTAAATATAAATATCAGACAAGTTTCTAAATCTACATATACATGTACAATATATTACATATAACAGTAAGTAATACTTGTTATCAAAAAAGCTGAAAAAGGCTTCTAACTATAAAAATGTTTTACTGTTTTGCATGTTTACTGAAATAGACATTCAAAAATGAATATACATTAATCTTTCGACTACCGGAACTAAACAGGCACAATGGAAGTTCAAGTTATTAGTACTGGACTTGTTGACTGCAGACGACTTCTGCCCCGTCAACAAAGATGTGAAACATAGGCTAAGCTGCATGCAAATTGGGCCCTATAGCTGCAGACCACTTCTGACCAACAATATGAGAATGTAATTGAGACTTTGAATCTTAAAAGATTCAATATGGAACCAACAGACGACTACTGAATTGGTTCCTACTGTATTTACATTTACTCAAGTCAGTTTAGATCATTAACATATTGAAATTTTGACATGTACTGTAATGCACGACAAGTTTTTTATGGTAGTATCGAGTTGAGTATGTCAATGAGAATTGCAACACATATTTACTAATGCCTATATTTTAAATGACTGGATTCTAATGTAACGACGAAAAGCATCAGAGTTCCACCTGCCTAATTTTTGAATAACTTGTTCAGAATAGCCTAAAGAGGCTGCATGAGTAGCGGCACCAATCCTGAAACTGTGACCTTTAACGCTATCTGTATCTAGACCGATAAAGTGTATTGCCGTCTTCAAATGTGAAGTTACTAATGAATAAGACACAGGTGTACCATCCATTGTTTGAAACAAAGGTCCATTCTTGTGGTTGAAAGTTTGTACATAGTTAGACAATGCCTGAACTGGACAATATTGGGAATTTGAACTTGCTTGCAGGTAAAGTACTAACGGTTTGTTGTGTTTGTTTGTTTTGTATTCTCTCAAAATGATTTGAACTCCTACAACCGAATTTGATTTGTGTTCAAATGTAACATCTTCCCTTTGCAAAACTTTATCACTACCCTTTGCAGATTTCACTGTTATTTCCCCTAATCTTAAAAACGCATGGAAAGCCATCAAAAACACTGCACGTAACAGCAGCCTTAGCGAAAAAAGCTTAACTGTGTGATTGAGGGCCTCTACTAGTCTTTGAAGAATAGGTGCAGTTATTGGTAAGCGAGTGTCTTTTCTTGGGCCCAGTGTTTGACAGCCTTTAAGAATTTTCTTAACCACAAATGCTTGAGTGGGGTCTGACATATTACCAACTTTGTGAACAAAACTGATAGCCGACATATGAGATAAAATAGAACTGGGGGAGTAATTATTGGAGAACAATACACCAATGAAGTTACATACATCAGTCACAGATATTGGAAGTGAAAGTCCTGGCTTCCATGTCAGTAAATACTGCCAACTTTTGCGATATGCTAGGGCTGTGGCTGATGAAAGAGATGAAGTCAGCAATTGCCTACTGACTGGGCTCAAATTGACAAGAGGTCCTTGGGCACCACTGTTTGACTGGGATTCAAGTGAGGTGCTATCCTGAAGGCCTCCTGAAATTTAAATCGAGATAGGTGATCTGCTAATGTATTACTTTTTCCAGGAATGTGCTTAGCTTTAAAAAGAATGTTCTTAGAAAGGGTCACAAGAACAAGTCTCCTAACTAGTTTCATGAGAGTTTTTTCCTTGCAAGTTTGCTTGTTTATGGCATGCACCACAGCTAAATTATCGGACATGAAAAGTATTTTGCTATCGGCAAGATATGATCCCCAAATCTCTAAAGCTAATACTATCGAGAACATCTCTTTAATTGCAATTTGTTGATGTGACATGTCTTTTATTGTATCCCAACCCAGGGCAAACCAGTTTCTACCTAGAACAGCTGCACAGCCCAATGAGCCTGAAGCATCAGTAAAGAGTAAGTGTTTTTCCGCAGAGGCCCAAATATCTGGCAGAATAGCCGATTTCCCATTAAATTTATCTATAAAATGGGACCACATATTTAAGTCAGCCCTTGCCTCACAAGTAAGCCTTATGAAAAAATGGGGTTGAGTTATTCCACAAGTTAAATCAATGAGGCGACGCAGAAAAGCCCTCCCTGGGACAACTACAAGACAGGCAAAATTCAAAAGCCCTATCAAAGATTGCAAGTCTTTAAGTGTTATTTTCTTCCTATTTTTGACTTCATGTAACCTATCCCTTATTTTTAAGAGTTTAGCCTCTGGCAATCTACAAACCATTTCAATAGAGTCAACTTCAATGCCATAAATTGTCAGAGTAGTAGTTGGACCCTCATTTTTTTCTGATTTTATGATTATACCAGATTCTTGACAAATCCTTAAGAACCTCTGTAATGATGCCTGGCATGCATCAGACTGGTCTGGGCCTATAAAGAAAAAGTCATCCAACATGTGGGACATGCCAGGTGCCCCAAATTTCTCACACATAACCCACTGTAAACTTGTACTGAGACACTCAAAAATTTGGCAAGAGCTACTGGCACCCATGGGTAGACACTTATCATAATAGAAATTACTATTCCAGGAAAAACCTAGGAGTTTGTAGTCTTCAGGGTGTATGGGTACAATACGAAAAGCGTCCTCAATGTCTGCTTTTGCCATTAAAGCCCCTTTTCCAAATTTCCGAAGAAGTTCAGTTATGTTGTCAATTGAGTCGTAATGTACTTTTGAATTTTCTTCAGGAATGCCAAGGTTCACTGAATCAAACTTGGGAAAGGAGAGATCATGAATTACCCTATATTTGTTCGGTTCTGATTTTGGAACCACTCCAAGAGGAGACGAAATGAAATTTGGAAAAGGTTGTTCTTTGAATGGTCCGGCAATTCGATTTTTTTCTTTCCCTACACTAATAAACTGATCAATAACTACAGGGTGATCTAAAGCACTTTTATGATTTCTAGGGATTTTCGTTGTAGGTGGAGATGTACATCCTAACTTAAAACCTTTTGAAAAACCCTCGAAAATCACCTTTAATTTTTCTGTATCATAGCCCTGTAGTATATGAATGAGCTTATTTATCTTGACTGGGGTTGGGAGATTTTGAATTTGAGTTTGATTTAAAGGAGTAGGAACATTTGACTTTGGGGTGATTGCCCTTGCATTGCATGCAGCTGTGCCTGAATTGACATGGGGACCGTGTGCAACGTTCCCCTTTGTTAAACTGGTAACAGTATTTGACACGAAAGGGCTGATTTAATGCGGTCTTGTTTTGATAACCAGATTTGGGCAATGTTATAGCTTTTAATCTTAGTTCTTGCACTGGAATTTGCCAAGGTGCAACAACAGATTCTCGTAGTTTACGAAAATGCTCATCATAAGCCCTGAAGGCATTATCCCCATGTAACTGATGGATCTCTCTGACCATGTGGCAATATTTGAACAAATGGGGTGCCTCTTGGGGAAATTTCTCACTGTAGATAGATGCGAATATCAAAAATGCATCCGTCCATTGAGATATACTGATTGGAAATTTAAATTTTGGACTCTGCTGTACATTTATAATGCCCGATGAAATTGACACAGAAAGAGGTTCATCTCGTACACTTAACAAAGATCTTAAGTCAATAAATTCATTATTCCAAATCTTAGTTTTGGTTTTTTGTGAAACCGTGGAACTGAGAGGAATCCCATCTGTTAAAGAAATTGTCTTACTCAGTGGGCTTAAGTCCTTGTGTGTAGAGCGGTCCCCAAGGAAAATTTGATCCAAAAGAGTTCCCAATGTGGAAGTCGTTGCTGGCTCAGCACTTTGAGATGTGGAGGCAGGTTCCAAGTTCACAGGCATCTGTCTGTCCTCTGTTGTGTTTTGAGAGGTGGCGATTAAATTTTCAGGTTTTTGTTTTGATATGGCTAACATGGCTTCGGCTAGTTTGTTGTAATCAATTTGTCCATACACAGGCCCCGGTATCACTTCAGGGTGCTGAATGGCTGTACTAGGCCCTGGTATCACTTCAGGCTGCTCATTGGCTGTAGTAGGCCCTGGTATCACTTCAGACTGCTCAATGATGGTTTTTTGCCTCTTTTTGGGGTTTTTGGCTGGTGTCGTCTTGCGTTTTGGTGGCATTGTAGATCTCTGCAAGAGAATTAAAGTATTACTACTGCACACCTTATAAAAAGTTTCAGTATCCAACCGATCAATGAATTTGAGTCGATGAAATAAATACTCCCTGCTTTATGCATTTCAAATATTATATAAATTCTAAACAGTGAAACTCAATCAACATACGGTATGTGCGTATGGTTCTGCACCAACTCAATCAACATACGATAAGTGCATATGGTCCTGCACAATTTTTTTTTTCTTTTTTTTTTTTTTTAATTCAACTCAGTCAACACACAGTATGTGCATATGATCCTGAATCAACTCAATCAACATATGGTAAGTGCATATGGTCCTGCACATTTTTTTTTTTCATTCAACTCATATAACAAATGCATATAGTCCAGCACATTTCATCTAGTATAATAAGTGCATATGGTCCTGCACATTTTTTTTTTAATTATTATTATTATTGCACAGCTTAGTAAAAACTACATAAGTACATGTACTCAGTACCAATGTAAATCACAACATATTCACAACATGTGATTATATACTCATGTATACACCACATAAATTACTGTAAAAGTCTGAGCCTATGGTCTTGCAAGTAAATTATGAATTGTATCATAAAAAATAATAAAATTACTCAGCATTAATTATTCATTATGTAAATTTTGCACATCATTATCTCAGTATTCTATTAAAATCAAAATTGTCCAAATCATTGGCTCAATGCAACCAGAAATAGTTTACTTTTAGAGCACTATTCATGTTAATGGATACATGCAGTATGTAAATGACCAAAACCTGAGACTTCAATTATGAGCTAGCCCTTTCAATGTTTAATGGACCATACATGACATAAGTATAATTAATATACTGGCCTGTCTTATGCCGGTAGTGCAATACTGCAGAGCGAATACTCCGCCAGAATCGATGCATTGGAGAAGAAGTCACAACACGATGCTCCGAGTGAGTGCGCAAATGTACACCATCCTTGCTCAAAAAGTCCAAGCTTTTCCAAAAGCCTCTATGATGCCAAAAGTGTATATTGTCCAGGTTTTTGCATTCACTCATCAAAAGTTTGTTTATGTGGATCACACGGTCGTTAAAGTCATCAGATGAAGCCCAAGGTCTACGTCTAAACAACTGACCAATTATAACAATTTGTACTCCTACACCAAGGTGAATATAAGAAGCTAATGATAAAATGTCTCTTGCTATAACGTTCGGACTGTTAAGCAGAATGTCATTCTCACCTATCTGCATAAAGCAAATATGGGGGAGCACATCAAAATTCAACAGTTCTCTAAATAGACGACTGTCTCTTAACTTAAGACCTCCACGGCCATTCACTGACACCGAATATTGTTCGTTATTGAGTTTTAAATTAACGAATTCACTAGAATTGTTCATGTAATATCCCAAGCGTTTTATAAAAGAATGTCCAATCAAAGATACACGTAGAATACAACGATCGTCCATGTTGTGACAGTCTTCTCCGTTGCCCGGATGTGAACCCTTACACAATAAAACGACACTTACATAACTAATTTCACAACAAAACACAAACTCACTTTTCTGGGAATCTACCGCAACTGTGAAACAATAACGTATATCACATAGCCCACAGTCTTCAGTTGTATGGCTAAATCAAAAAATGTAAGGATTTTCCGAGGTATTAAAGCGAAAAATACGTAAAATCGAGCAGTTAAAATGTTGCGACTTTCCCTTCTTGTAAAAAGATAAACAATGAACACGTGATAACAAAGCGCTCTGCTGATTGGTTGAAAATGGTTATGAAAGGGGTAAATCAAGTTACATAAGTAAAACCCGGTTGACACATTGTATCAGACTATTACAAAAGAAAAATAGTTATGCAAGAACTTAATATGAAGAAATATACAAGAACATGTCACATAAAGGTCATTATTTACAATAATAACTTATTTGAGAGAGAGAGAGATATAGAGAAATTGGGGCTATTTATTCTTTAAAAAGCATTATATGTATATTAATTTCTCTTTATTATGAACGAGGCATGAAACGTGAAGATTTTAACAAAGAATTAAAACCCTACGATAAAGAGTATACATCAGAAACAATTACTGTTGTATTGCATTTTAAATTTTAACATGCATTAGAATCTGATGACGGTTTCAAATTTCTTCAAAACTTGATTTTTTCCTTTCCTATTATTTTAAATTTCCCCTTATCATTAGATATGGAAGCATTAACAATTGACATTATAAACTTAAGATAACTAGATAGTCTTTTTGCACATACCTTAACTTTCACAAGGTCCAACATACAGTGTACAAATAAAAAGCATGAAAAAAAACATGAAGTTCTATTTTATAGAAAACCACAAATTAGTTATATAGCATTATCTCATTACCCCTGTTTGTCCAAGTAATTGCCATTCATAGAGTAAATTATCTTCAAATCGGGAACCTTTAAAGTTTACAACCAATGCAAATGTCATTTGGGAAAAATGCTTACATGTATATATACTCAACAATAAAAAAGAAACGCCTAATAAGATTAAACATGATAAGTTTTCAGTTTAATCCTTATTTTTTAAAAGTGATTTTAGAGGGTTTTGATAAAAATCAAACATGTCCTGTGTTGCCAGTAGATAAGTGAAGTTATGTCAGTGTCGACGCCTCCACATTTCAAGCCCCACCGTCTTAAACAGTTCATATGCCCTTGCAACGTCTAAGCAATAGTGGATTTCCACTGTACGGATATTGTGCACTAATACCAGCTCCTATCAGTCTATTGCGAATAATTTATGCACTTATATTCTGATTTGTTCATCCAACAATTATAGGAGCAGTTTTACAGCAGTTGTGAATCGCATGAGGTGCTATAATAAAAAGGGGGTCTGAAGATTTTACCTAGGTATGGTTATCTGTCGGCGGCCAATTATTGGTCTTCCGACGTTAGTTTAACGGCTGTAAAGCCATTGATGTATTCCAAATGCGGTTGCAACTTCCTGTTCTCTTGGATAGGACTTACGGTATTTAGGCCATGCCTGATGTCCCATCCAATTATGTAAGCTTACTTTACATAATAAATCATTGTTTAAAATTAAAATTACAAGCAGTAAGTAGAAAATTATATATTTATGAAAATTACCCAATTTTATGTTTCCCGCATAGAAGAAAAAACTGCTCAGAAATCTATACACGTGGTTTATAAGCGTTGTTTACTGTGATATTGCATATTTTCTAATTTTAAAGTTTGAGGGAAATATACTGATTCATGAAGATTTGATTCCGTACTTGATTTTTTTGTAGTATTTTTTATGAACAATTCCATTTTGTGGTAGACAAAAAATTGTGGGTCTCTTTATGCCTCGAAAATAAAGGAAATCAAACCACCTTAAAAATTAATAATTTCTTAATATGCAATAATATATAACTTTGTAAAACTTTCTCGATAGATCCTACAATAGGCATTGCTAGTGTTTTTATAAAATCCAACGATCCTCTGACATAAGGTTATCGCGCGTTCCGGTTTACATGAATTAATGCAAAAGCTTTGGACAGACACAGAAATTTACTTAGAAATTCATTAGCGCTCAATACGTTTTAGCGTTCAGGGCTATTTTGCCAAAGGCGCTTAAATTAGTCGTATGCCAAATATTCTCGTTTTACAGTATTAAAAGTTTAAACCATATTATGCATTTAATCATACATTTAAATTATTCAGGATGTATCTAATCAAACATATGTGACATTCATACTGAACGACATCTATGCTTAAATTCTAATAAAATTATAATCATTTTTTCATAAGAATATTCTTAAACTGTACAACTTGTCAGCTATTTCATTTTACAGATATTGAAAGTGTTTCTACTTCTCTTCGTTGCCTTCATCCTTTGCAGCGCACAGTCTTGTAGAGAATACATTGTTAGAGTGCAGTGATATCGTGGAAATTCCAATTTTAAGTCCAACGATGGATGTCTTCAGTATTCGTGCCAATGCTATTGCAATGGTTTGTACTATTGTCCCGCCTATTTAACTCTTTACAACTTACTGAACTGTTAAGCAACATACACTTAATGTTAACGTCATAGAAATAGATATTTAACATTTCCCCGCAAGCACTTTATAGCCAGGTACACGTTTCTCTAATGTTTAGCGAAAATAATATCATGACGTAATATTTTGATACAAATTTATCTTTTCTTATTTAATGAGAATTTTGCAAGTATAAAATAGAAGGAAATTGGCATTAAATGGAATGATATGCAGAGAGGAAATGGAAACCGATGTCAAAATTTCTTTTAGCTATAGGTAACTTAAATTTGGAGTGGACATTCCATTGGGGAATTTATACCATAGTGTCAGTTTCACCAGGCAAAATCCTACTCGATTTTCTTCTTTCAGGGAGGGAATTTACTGTTTCAACTTTGAATACAATTACATTTAACAACGATGAAATATAATTTCATATACCAGTCTTTTTTTCTGGTGTTCTCTAATTCATATATATTAGAAATCCGCATGATACCATCCAAGCACAGTCACAAAAAAACGCCATGATTCGTGCCTGTGTTCGAATGAAATCAAGTTTTTTACAGGCAACAAAACTTTTTTTTAAATAAGAACCATAAGTATAAAACCGTGAAAAAAACTTTTTTCACTTCTATTGACAGTGGTTCATCCTGAAGAGCACAGGTTTAAGGGCAACCTCTACATTACATGGAAGAAATTTCAACGATTTAATGTATAAATTAGAGATTAAAATGAGATAATCATGTTAAACATGAATGTCAACCAGTTGCTTAAACATCATAATATATGTTATCACTCAATTACTGTTCGTTGACATTATGACTATTAAATTATTTTCGAAATTTGTAAATTGTTTGCACAGCTGCATTGAAGATAAAAAAATCCCGTCAATGCAAAGCAGATGTTATATGCAAATCTTGATTATATTCATTTTTTAATGTCCTTATTTAATCCTCATTTTTAATGTCAGGATTTTACTATACTTGAAGAACCCTTTAATTGAATTAAAAGTGATAAGAAAAATTGCATCTTCGTAAAGTAGCTAAATCAAAATTATAATCATATGTACTCTAATCTAATCATCAGAGGGTCAAAAGGACCTACAAACTGTACGCAATTATCAAAATTCATTCAAAATTAATCATAATTGGTCATCATCTATTATGCCCTTGGCTATAAAAGGTATGAGAGATTTCAACGGTACATGTATATTTGAACAAAGTTGCCTTCAAGACGCGTCTAGAGGTAGGTACACAACTTGATTTTGCAAAGAATTTGAAAGTATGAAAAACGTATATAGTACATGTGCTATTGCTACATTGTATAATCTTTCATAGGTATATATCAGAAAAGCAAAATTACTTTGTAAGTGATTCCAATCACATGTTTTTGTTAAGTTCACTTTTGTGTTTCAGAAAAAAAAATAAGCCTTTCATTGGGATTGTATTGTGTGGCTTACGGGGAGCTGAATTAACAATCTTTAGACGGAGGCTGTCATACAGCCTCCGGTTATAGGGATTGTCTTGCCCATGGAATGTA